TTGTTATCCAGATAACTGTACCAACCTCGGTACCTCTGTGCTGGACTTAACATAGGATTCAAATTCGAGAGGTCTGGCCATTGCATCCTGCATGGTAGAGGGGTGTGCTTGCTTCACTTGTATCTTAAGTTTTGGACTGTCCAAGGCATCTACGAACTGATCCCTAAGCAACAACTTGAGGAGATCGGATGGTGCAGTTGGGTAGGCCTTGTGTGTCATGCTTTCCAAGTCCTGTGCCAGCTCTTGCAGGCTCTCCCCTTTAGCACGAACTCTCGTCCTGAATCTGGCCCTGTAGACTTCTGACTGGTTTGGGGTTCCGTACCTGAGTTCTAGAGCCGACACCAGTGTTCTATAGTTGTGTCTGTCGGCTGCTGTCAACTGTCCAAGTATTTCCAGTGGTTGTCCCTTCAAGCTCGTTGCCAGATATACAGCTTTCTGCTCCTCTGTCCATCCGTTCATCTCTGCTAGAAGCACAAATTGTGCTCTATATGCTTCCCACGGTGCTTTCCCATCGCATTCCTGTGGCTTCCTTTGCACTGGATCACTGCTATTACTGACATTCATATCTGGGATGTGACTTCTAACGGGACTGAATGTTTCCTTTCTTGTTCCAGTTGCCACTGCTGTAGTCTCTCTTTTTGTTTCTTTTCTCGTTCTTCTTTATTTTCTTTCTCCTCCAACAACTGCTGTAATCTCTCTTCTTGTTTCTTTTCTCGTTCTTCTTGTTTCTTTTCTTTTTCCTCCAACAACTGCTGCAATCTCTCTTGTTTATTTTGCTGTTCGAGCTGCCATTGTTGTAGGTTTTCTTGCCACTTCTGTAATCTTTCTTCTTGTTTCTTTTCTCGTTCTTCTTGTTTCTTTTCTTTTTCCTCCAACAACTCCTGTAATTTGTCTTGTTTATTTTGCTGTTCGAGCTGCCATTGTTGCAGGTTTTCTTGCAACTGCTGTTGTCTCTCTTCTTGTTTCTTTTCTTTTTCCTCCAACCACTGCTGTAATTTCTCTTCTCGTTCTTCTTGTTTCTTTTCTTTTTTATTTTGTTGTTCGAGCTGCCACTGTTGCAGGTTTTCTTGCAACTGCTGTTGTCTCTCTTCTTGTTTCTTTTGCTGTTCTTGTATTGCTGCCATCAAATCTGCTAAGCTGTAGTTTGATTTTCCGCCTCTCGTTTCCATTTTCTTCTTCTTTTTTTTTATTTATCCCACTCTCTGACACCAATTTGTTACGTCTCCATTCGTTAGTTGATTTTCCGTAACTTCGTTCCGACGAAACTTTAGCGACACAAGTCCTTATTTAATAAAACTGGTTTATTCTTTCTGAATATAACTTTACCGATACACTTATTTTCAACAGTCGCTCTATAACAAACGCTATAACAACGAACGTTAACTTCAACAATACTTTCTGACTGCAGTTCAATTACTCACTACCTACACACACACATTGTCACGTCACGCCGTGACCATCTTATATATACCAGACCAGCCCCAATCTAGCAAATGCTAGAGCACTCCCGAAGCAACAGGATAGTTCTAGAAACGTGGCGTGACACTAGTCACGTGACCTCGCTGACGCAACAATATCAACATTTGAATCTCCCAGAGGATCAACCTCTGTTCATTAAAATAACAACTGTGATGTTACTTTGGATCAAAATCACTCGTAAAAAGATGAGTAATTCATAATATGGTACTATTTTTCATTTGAGTTACATTGAATATATATTCCAGATTGTTTCCATCACAAATTCGTTAATATTGTTACGTCCCTGGTCGTTAGTTTGTTTCCCG